TCCTGCATAGAACCCTAGAAGGCTCACGTCCAAACCTTGTGTCTTAAGGTTCGATTTCAAGGATAAGATTTCAGTTGTTAAACACGCTGTATCACATTCTACTTAGAAGCCACCTTAGATAATGTTACACAGAAGCCCTGCATGAGAGTTCTGTGACAAGCGTGTTAGACAGAAGCTCTGTATGAGGGCTTTGTGTCATGTTAGCCAGAAGCTCTGCAAGAGAGCTTCGTACCAAGTTACGTTATACAGAAAACTCTACATGAGAGCTCTGTATCAAGCTGTTTAAGACAGGCTCTGGAAGAAACCACAGAGGGACTCTGGACTTTTAATAAAATAATTTTAGTTAAGTTACAGAGGCTCTGTCGATAGACACAGAGACTCTGGTCCTTAGTACCAAATTTTCTAAGGCTCCAACCACAGAGGCTCTGGTCAATACCACAGAGGCTCTGGTTGTGAGACCATAGCTCTGTGAGAGAGACCACAGAGGGGCTGGTCGATACCACAGAGGCTCTGGTTGTGAGACCATAGCTCTGTGAGAGAGACCACAGAGGGGCTGGTCGATACCACAGAGGCTCTGGTCCTCTCCAAGACTTAGCACAGAGGCAGCCTTAGAGTTTCATCCTTAGCCTCGATGGCTTGATAAGACTTATAGAATAGCAAGCGGATAGTTGACCGTGAGTTGACTTTTATAGTCCTTGGAGGAATCTATCATTTATGTACTATTCGCTATTATAAATTGTAAGGTACCAGTCAGCACCGTTAAGTAAGCAATCGACGTTATCAGGTGAGTCTTCATGTGACTTACAATGGGATGCATACCTATGTATAAATATATTTTCAAGCACTATACGATTTATATGATGATGGTACAAGTGCATGATGTTTCAGTTTACATACATGATATGTTTTTACATGTATGACGTTTTTATGATCAGTTGCATGCGTGTTTAATCAGTTTTCGAATAACTCTAGCATGCTATTCCATGATAAAAGTTTATGACCAGTTTTAGCGGGTGAGCATTTGACCAGGAAGTCACATGGCAAGTGGCACGACTTCGTAATGAGTGTCTAGACGGATGCAGGCCGGACAACTCAGGGAATGCCAGTGACTAAATGACTCACACACGACAAGTGGCACGACCCGTAATGAATGTCCAGGCAGATGCTGGCCGGACAACTCAGGGAATGCCAGTGACTAAACAACTCATACCCGACAATCAAATCGGGAGATCTCATTCTTGTTCAGTATAACGTGTTTATCAGAAAATGCAAGTTATTTAATACAAAGTTTACAAGTTGAAATGTGCGATGTGCAATAATCTTTACACACGAAAATCATGAACTCACTGAGCTTTATAAGCTGACTATAGTATGCATTTCAGGCCCAGATAGTTCGAGGACGGATAAAGGCAAAGGACATGCTTAGAGAGTTGCTCATTTTTATCTATTTTACAGTCTTTTGACTAGTTGCGCTGTAATGGTCTTTTGTAACTTAACTCCAAGAGAAAGTGGATTAGAACTTAAGTTAAATTTGGATGATTCAAAGACTTCCACTGTAATAGTTTAAATGGTTTTAATTTAGCTACTATTTTGGCGTATCTATTAAGGAAAATGTTTTAGATTACGTAACGACTCTCTTGAAGGAAAATAAGGGTGTTACAATTTTTGTTTACCAATTTTTCCCTTAGTATTGAAATAAAATAAAATTTTAATATTTTTTTATTTTTTAATTTCCTAAAATAAAGTAAACTAATCTTAGCCATTAATCAAGAAAATGGA